TAAGTACACTTCGTCCTCTGGAACAATTTAAGTGATTCGTTGAACCGAATCCATTGATATCAATGTGATTTGGCACTAAAGTCCAGTTTAGAACAACTAATTGAATTGTTTGCTTCGTACTATCGTATGTTAAACCAGCTACTTTGGATAAAACCCACCACCAAATGGAATACGTTAGGTAGAATTGAATATATAAACTGGAGCAGAGCCCTAAATGGTTCATGAGGCTGGGGGAGAGGTAACTGCTGCCTGAGGCTAAGGATGTACGAGCAGAAGAATCCCAAATATCTGCCAGAGAAACAGACTCAGAGCGTCCACTGGTGGAGCTCCAGCCAAATCTGGTCTGCGTTCAGTGGGAAACTGCAGAGCTGGAAACTCTGCAGGACACGAGGGACCAGCATCAATAACATCAACAAAAATACACACTTTCTGGACATGGATTCCATTTTTTAAAAACATTCAGAACAACTGGCTTTCTGATTCCCAGAGCATCGCATGCACTTAAATCTTGTTATCATGCCACAGGAAAGGAGGAAACATGTGGAGACGATGATGCTTTCATTTCAGCAGCACATAATGTCGTTTTTCTTTTTTTTCTTTATCATATTGTATCACTCAACATGTCCGTCTTAAGATGTTTCACTAAAGCATCACCAAAATTACTATTTATGGCCAGAGCTTGGGGTTATTAAAAACAAAGGTTCATTTCAGAGAATGACAACAACATCAGAGACAACGTTAAATCCTGTGAAGAACATCTGTCAGTAAAGAGCAGTTAAAACTAAAGGGAAACTCCAGGTATCCTCTCTCATGGGAACAAGCATGAAAATCATTAGCCTGGTAACCTGTGTTTTACAACAAAACCAACAAACGCAATTCATTTTTAACCTAAATTAATCTCTATAACCTCAACCGGATCAGTGTAATCTTAATTTTTCAAAAGGTTATTTCATGTTTTCACGGCATTGGGTCAAAGGTCAATCTTTATTTTTATTTACACATTTTCTCTAAATAATAATTCATTCCAGTTATGAAAACTAGTCATAGCAGTTTACATTTTATAGCGCCCCACAATGGCCACAGCAGGCTTTACATTTTTCTAAATTAATGTGTTTTAACCAGGACCTGCCTCAGAGGGAATCTCTTCACCAGTGCCTTTCCCTCGTGTTATATCTGGATCAGTATGAAAGAGTTGAGGAATAAGTGTGGAAACATAAAGGTTCATTCCACGGCTGGCGGTGGCGGGTGAGTCAAGTTCAAGTTCAGGTAATGTTTGTTTGAAGACGAAGGAGACAATTCAGATATTTCAGAACCTGGTTTGAAACATATGTGCTCTGACTGTTGGACTTCTTTTCTTGTTATACTTTATATTTTTTATGGGTTACATTATACTGTTGTGTTCTAAACCCTTCGTGTTACTGCGGTTTTTAATATCTAGCAATTTTGGGCTGGATTTGAATTATTTTTTGCTTTTAATTCTGTTTTCTAAACCTACATTTTTACAGTGTATTAATCTCTTGACGTGAACAATTTTGAAGGCAGAGCAAACAATAAAATTTCAAAGCAAACACAAATGGAAACTGGTAGAGTTTGGTTTTGGTTTTTTCTTCTACGAAAAACTGAGTGATGATTAGATAACGTGTTAATTTCCTCCTTTTTGAAACAAAGGCCCAACAGACATCACAGTATAAAAGGAAACCTTCAACTCTTACCTCCAGTTGTTTTCTTGCTGCAGTGCGTTTCCTCTCAGGTGGATTTCTTGCAGAGACGAACATCCTTCCAGACTCTCACACATATTGTTCAGCTCTGTAAAAAACAGTTTTACTTTGATATAAGATGTTGCCTGATTTGTTCAATTTATTATTATTAATACTATTGTTGTTGTTATATCAGGTTTATTAATCTGTAAAGGTTATTATTTCAGTAATAATTGTTTATAACTGTTATTTACTGTTTATAATCATGTATGAAAAGTCAAGCTCAGTTTAAAGATGGTGAGAAACTGCTTCTATAACTGAAATACAAATTAACTGATATTCATATTTTTATTATTATTATTATTTGGATTTTATAATTCTGCAGCTCATCACAAACAAGCCATCATGGTTTATAGATAAAAAAAGGTTATTATTATTATGTTGATATTAAAAAAAAGGTTATTATTATTATGTTGATTTTATGGTTTATATTATGTTGATTTATGTTGCTTAAAATTGTTAAATTTGGTAGATATAATTTCTTAATATATAATATATTCAATATTTAATTTGATTTTAATTTTAATTCAATATATAAAAGACAGAAAATGTTTCCAGCTGCCATTTTGCACAAACAATAAAATCAAGGTTGGTATTTTTTAAATCACAACATTTTTTAGGTGATTTGTGTTTTGTTTTTATTTTTGTGTCTGATCCGTACAGTGTTACCTGAGATGCAGTTGAACTGAAGGTCCAGTTTTGCAAGGGAAATAAAATCAGACATGGAGGAGAGGACGGTGATTCTATAAAGAGAGACAGGGATTGTTACAAAAACAGTAGTAGTAGTGAGAAGTGTCCAGAGTTCACCCGCTGCGACCATGACAATAAGTAGGCAGTAGAAGAAGAAGAAAGCTGGTACTGTATGCTGTCATCAGTTGTTGCCACAAGATTTTGAGAGTTTTCAGGACTCTGTAACTGTGTCTGGTCCAGTGGAATCTACCTGTTTTGAGCTGCAGAGAGATGCAGCAGTAGGGGGAGCCAGCTGTCAGTGAGGCTCTGCAGAGACGAGATGCTGTTTTCGTCCAGATGAAGGTCTCTGAGGAGGACATGGTTGGTCAGACTGGGGGCCTGGGGGACGGAGAGAGAGACACTGTCAGAGGATGAAGACCAACATCTGTGAACGTGTCCATCCATCACTGTCAGCTGCTTCAGTCCTGCTGTGTTCAGTCAACAACAACAAGTGTCTGTGTCCCTTTTAAAACACACTGGAAACAAAAGACTTTCACTGACATGGTTTCAAACACTGAATGTGATTTTAGGCACAAAAAATATAACAAATAATCTTTTTCTTATGGACGGGGCCGTAGAATATTTGTTTTATATTATTTTACACTGATTTAGATACATTTAGCTATTTTTTTTAGCTGGCACCCGTTTGGGCTACTAAGGGGGCTTAATTTGGTATTTGCGTTAGCCACTTGAATAACTATCTTAAGCTATTATTTTATCGGGATTTTTGGTTCATTTAAAATGTTTTATCTTTATTACTTTATGCTACCGATCCTTCCTTTTAGCTTTTAGTGGTTTTAGTGAAATCTCATTGTCATTTTGGGATACTTTGGGATATTCAAAATACGTTTAGGCTACTTTTTAACGCTATCTTTTTTGGTAGCTAGTTTTGGTTGTTTAAGCTAACGTCCCGCGGTTTTACCTCAACAAGACTGTTGGACTTCAGGTCCAGTGTGTGGAGCAGCACGTTGTTTTCCAAACCCTCCACTGCTGCCAGGTAGTTGTGAGAACAGTCCAGGTGAAGGAGGGTGGAGACGTCCCTCAGGCCTTTAGTGCTGACCAGACGGTTGTGACTCAAAGACAGCGACTGCAGTCTCTTCACTGACCCCAGACCAGCTGGGGTTTAGAAAAGGAACTCATTTTAGGAGGATGTTTACAGAGATAAAAAAAAAAGTAAAATAAAAAACACTCGCGAATAAAATTCTAATAGTTAGTAGTGAAATAAACAACTGACTCAATTAACTTATTTTACGTTTACGTATTTCCGAAATATATGAAAAGATCCTGGACATTCAAAGAAAAAACTAATACAGATCCTGCCCTCTAGTGGAATACTGTAGGTTTTACTGCTAATACATACAGGTGGTTCTGTCACTGACTCATTCATTCATTCATTCATCTACCACTTGTTACTTTTCACATTCTAACATTGTGTGTAGAATTATATTATATTATATTATATTATGTTACATTATGCTGTATAGCCCAATGGTTATTGGAACATGGAAGTTTGTCACCCTTTTGTATTTCCACTAGATGTCTTTACTAGGTTATATCTTCTCACCAATGCGGGTGATGGAGTTGTGGGAAAGATCCAGAAGGTCCAAATTCTGAGCACCAGCCAAACCGTGGATTGACGTCAACTTGTTGTGGCCGAGTCGAAGAACTCGTAAGCTGGTCATGTTTCCACAGTCCATAAATGAGATCTCGTTTTCCTAACAGGTTAAAGATGAAATCAAATTAACATTTTCTTTATACGTGGATGTTATTCTAACGTAGGTGGGTTGATCAGGCACCTGCACGTCTATGTAGCAGAGCTCTGGTAAGAGGCTGATGCTGTCTAAGGACTTCAGGCCACAGCGTCTCAGAGTGAGACACTGAAGACGGCCACACTGAGCAAGTGTTGATAAACTGCAGCCAGGTAGGTCCTCCAGGGTCACTGAGGTCAGCTGAGAAACACAGGCACCGGAAACTTCTTATTTAAATCAAACAAGGCTGCGATTAATCAGAATTATTTTATGGAAATTGTTTTTTAAATAATGTCCCTAATGTGTGTTTTACATCTTCCTACAGTATGTGTGTGTGACTATACCTGTTGTAGGGATGTACAACCTGTGGCCTGCAGCAGAGTCTGAGGACACAGAGCAGGGAGACCGCTGCACCTGGAGGTTCTGTAGGCTCCTCGTCCACCGCCCGCACCTCCTTCTGTCTTCTTCTTGTTCTTGTTCTGCACAGATAGTTTGGACCACGAGGTGCAGTTTTTCATCCATGACAGTCTTTTCTGCTCCGTCTGCTCAGGAAGACACACAGCTGCCAGGTCCTGGTCCACAGTCTGAGGTACAGAGGTCTGGCTGGTTTCCTTCAGGAGCTCAGGTTCTTCAGAGGAGCTGCTGGGACTGGTTCTGGAGTCAGGGACTAAACAACTGGGCCCAGAGGAGGTCAGCGGGATGATGGTTGTTGTTTCTTCTCTGATTGGTTCTCCTTCTGTGTTTGTTTTTTCTTCATCACCATTATCTACGTCCTCATTTCCTCTCTCCTCCTCCTCCTCCTCCTCCTGCTCTGGTCTGGACAACTCTTCCTTCTTCTTTCTTTTATCCTCATCACACTTTTCTTCTTCATCTGTTTTGTTCTTCTCTTCTTCATCTGTTTTATTGAAGTTCTTTTCATTCTCCAGTTCTTCTTCTGGACACCTTCCCTGTTCTTCAGTTCTCGTTGTCTTCCCTCCGTCCTTCGTTTCGTCTTCACCGTCCAGCCTTGGACTCTTTTCCTCTTCCTCTTCATCCTTTCTTCTCTTCATCTGTGTAACTGTCACGGTGAACGTTTCTGTTTCCTCCTCTTCTTTGTTCCTTATCTCCTCTGTTCTACTCCTCACTCCCAGTCCTACAGCCATCATCTGCTCTTCCTCTCGGTTCAGACGGCTCTCATCACTCATTCCTTTCACTTCTGTCTCTCTTTGTCCAATGTCTTCTCCTGTCCTCGGTTCATCTTCTTCTCTTGTTGTGTTTTTCTTCGTTCCCAAACTCTCCTCATCATCCGTCTTCTTTGATTCCTCTTCCTTTGACCAGTTCACTGTTTCCTCTGTCCTGTGTCCTACTTCCTTCAGCTTTTTTTCTTCTTCCTCATTTTTCATACTGTCTAGTTTCCATTTTTTGTCCTTTTCTTGCTTCCTCTCCTCTTCCTCCATCTTCCTCCTCTCCTGTTTTGCTCTTATCTTTTCTATGAGTGTCTTTTCTTCACTTTTTCTCTTCTCATCCTCTCCACCCTTCTTCTTCCTCTCTTCCTCCATCCTTTGTTTTTCTGTGATCTTTCTGATGATCTCCACCTCGTTTTTCTTCCTCCTCTCCTCTTCCTCAACCTTATTCCGTTCCATTTCTTTCCTTATCCTGTCCTCTTCCTTTTGCCTCCTCTTCTCCTCCTGCCTCCTCTCTTCCTCCATCCTTTTTCTCACCGCCTCTCTCCTGACTTTCTCCTCTTCCTCCCACTTCCTCTTCCTTCTTTCCTCTTCTTCTCTCCTCTTCTGCTCCTCCCTCATCTTCTTCTCCCGCTCTTCTTGTATCCTCTTCTGCTCCTCCTCGTTCATCCTCCTCTCTTCGTTCACTCGTTTCTGCAGATCTTTGATCAGTTGCTGTTTGATAAAAGCATCGTGTTGTTACAGTTTTAATCTCAATTCCCATTAAACAAAACTGTTCAAAAGAAAATGTTCTATTTTTTTAAATAAAAAGGGCTCCCCCTGCTGCCTAAATATCACCATGACAGGTTTTTAATGTATTCTGTAATTTAGGGACTGAGAAGCCACAGACTCACCTGCTGAAGGTGAAACTCCAGCTCCAGTCTTTCCTGAGCTCTCCTCTCGATCATCTCCAGGTCCTTCTGATGTCTCTGGAAATTATAATTATTTTATACATAATCCAACAGCCATGACAGAACAACAAAATGGATGTAGACTATATGACTGCTGGAGTCTGTTAGGTTTGAGGTTTGCACTTTTCTCTTAGTTAAGAATACTTGTTTTGCATGCTCTCAACAAATGTGTTGAGGATGTCGCCTTTAAAACGTCGACTGTTTCTCATACAATTTTGTTCATTTTACATTTTCCGCGTGCCTCAGTTATAAAACATCTAACAACGGTAACGACGGTAGCTGACGACTCACCTTCTCCGCCTCCATGATTTTCCTCAGCTCCTCCTGAAAGTCACGTTGTCTCCGTTTCATTTTGTCCTCTTCCGTCTCCGTCTCCTGACTGTGCTGCTCTTCTCTGACCTTCTCATAGTCGATGCTCCTCCTCACCTCGTCGTCTGTGGGAGACGTTTTCAGATTCTTCACTTCCACATTCTCCTCCAACTCCACATCACTTTGAAACTTTGACTCATCTGTTTAAAAAAAAGTTAGACATTCATTTGTGTGAAACTTTCCAGGTTTTGTGTCCTGCACAAAGCATTAGGGCCGCCAGCCATAAATATGACCACAGTGACCTCTTGTGGCGAATGTTTTGTCTTGACACTGAAAATCAAATTATTTAACAATAGTATTTGTATCACTGCATTTAGTTACTTTTATGTTTAACTTAACTTTAATTTAAAAACAATTATAAAACTCAATAAAATTTTAAATCATTTTCTTTATTTTCAAACCAACTATAACTAATCATCCGTTTATTCACCTAAACCCAGTTGGTCTTTAAACTCCTCGATGCACCGTCAACAATATACCTCTAAAAATAAGACCTGAATGTCGCATTCAATTAATTTAAATTAATTTAGCAGATTTTAAAACTTTAATATAGATTTAAAATGATAAAATCTCAAACCTACAGTAGTAGAAGTGAAGGTCGAGTCAGTGTGGAATATAAAACCAGAAACCAGCAGGGCTTCGTCTCTAATTGGTTTACTTGAAGTTTTCTATGTTAGTTTGTTGCACTACACCTGTTCCTTTTTCGGAACAAAACATCAAAGGTTTGTCTGATGAAAGAATCACTGGTCTTGGCCTTAATGATTAATGAGCCAGGACATTATAAGAAAAACCATTGGATGAGGCTAAAGATCAAACCTTAGAAATGTGTTTCTGTCTCCATAGCTGTGAGCAGGTGAGTGTCGTTCATTTACTCCACACGTTCTAACCCTAATTTAAACACATATATATCACAACAAGAATTGTTTGTGACTGTATATGGTCACGTGTTCCTGTTCAGACTTGGGTTGGTTTAGATCAGCCGGAAGTAGGATGTTGGGGTGAAATAATATGAATAAAATGTACAAGATTGATCCTAAAACTTCAGCCACCAGTACCTTCACCCTCCTCCAGGATGAACTCCTCCCACATGTCTGCTCTGGTTCTGGAGGCCTGACAGTAGCTGAGCAGAGACGGTGGGATGTCGTCAGACACCTAAAGACATTCATTAGAATTATATTTGGGTTAATAATTAAAAATAAAGCACTAGTAGTAGTAACTAGTCATTACAGTGACTGCTGGTTTACACACACACACACACACACACACACACACCGACTCACCGTTTCCTCGTGACGAACTAAACTTTCTCGCTCGTCATCACTTTCACCGCAGTCACACGTGACAACATTTTCTAACTCCTGTACAACGACTTTGTAAAGTCCCTCAGTGTCTGTCATTTTGTGAACGGTCGTTAGCGTCGCTTCTGCGTCCCACGGTTTCCATAGAAACGAGGTTGATTACTGTTACAGCAACTCGCAAAGGACAAACTTCATAAAGGCGGAACAGTCAACACAAACTCCCGACGGATGAATTTCCAAGATATTTAAACAATACTAATTTATATATTTTACCTCGTGTGTTTACACCACGAGCCTTTTTCGTTACGGTTCAAACCGGGTCTTTCCTCTGGGCGCCGCCATGTTGGATTATCGTGTTCTTACGTCATAAACCCGAGAGTAAAATCTAAATAAGTTTTATTTTGTTCTTTAATCATAACTGACGGCTACCCTATATTATTAGTAGATGTAGTAGTAGATGGTTAGCAGTAGGTTAGAAACTACATAACGCTTTAACGTTAGTTTGTCAGCTGCTAACTATGTGAAAGAAGTAATTAAAGTAATGGGTATCTAATGGGTGGAGTCAATCAAAGATACTCCACAGTATCTTTGATTGACTCAACAGTTTTACGTATTATTAATCCATTTAATTTTCCACTGCTTCTCATTACTACCATGCATTTATGAATTAATTAAAGTACATCCCATCCATAACATAAAAATGAATGTCAGAAAATGAACATAATATTTTAACTAAAAATGGTTGTTTCCAAATTGGCTCCACATTAAAAGTAAAAAAAAGAAAAAAAGCTCTGCAAAACGAGACTAGAGGCAATAAAAAGGCTGGCTTCACATCATTTCATCACAATTCTCAAATATCACTACTATACTATAACACAACGCATTTACACACCCAGAAAAATGTTACAAGAACAAATGTTTGTGACTACAGTAATTCTTCGTGACAATGAAATATGGTGTCATGGTCCTGAGTGGGCATTTTGGGGAAACAGCCAGAGGGGGTCAGTGAGCTCAAGACCCTGTAGGTGAGTCACAGGACCAGAGGAACAAAAGACACGTTGGCTGACAAACAATGTACGCTTCTTCAATGCCATTTGTGATCA